TTCAAATCTGTTAGGAGCCATTTGCATGAGACTTCTGAGCGATGAGAACAAACAACCTGATTTATCGTGCGTGTGAACCAGCGACCCGGTGAGCTGTGGGGAGCCCGAGCGTACCTTGGCTTCCCTGGGGCAGTGCTGCGAGCAAAGGCGGTTCCAGAGCCTGCGCTAAGCCAGGCTTTTCTGTAGCTTCCCGCTGTTCCTCGTGGCAGCAGCTGTGCCCAGGGCACGTGCGTGTTCCCCGTCCCCAGGCGCATGCGGGCAGGTGACAGTCGTGCTGCTTATGGTGTGAGGTCTTATTTCTGACTCCAGAAGCAGCTGGAAGCAGGAATTTGAACATCTCCCGGTTGGCATTTGATTTATGAGAAGCAAACTCTGCTTTCCTTTCCCTTTTCTCTACCAAATTTGTGGTGTTTCCTGCTTGTGTGGCGCACGGCGTGTTCTCCCGCTGCATGGCACCGGCTCTCGTGCTCCGTTGGGCTCGAGTGGGGCTCGTGGCAGGAGGAGTGCTGGAAGCTGGCGAGCACGGACGGCAAGAGAGGGGATCGAAGCAACGGGTCTGTCAGGTGCGAGGCAGATTGTACCATCTAATCCCCCGGCTGTCGTCTGCAGCATTTGTCAAGGCCGCCGCTGGCCTGCTCCCTTTCATCAGAGGTATCACTGGCATTCATCTAGGCTGGCAGCATTTCAACAGCTGTTAATCCTCTTTGTATCTTTAAGCACTGTGACCACTGACAAGCTTCTGTACTTGGAGGTGTCAAAATATCTCAAGATAGCTGTGGTGATGGTGGTTGGTTGTTTTTTTTTTAATCCAAACACCTTCTGATCTATTGGCCCAGACTGAACCTGATGGAGAAATCTGTGTCCTAGTGTCAGGTTTTTGCTGCTGCTGCTTGATGTTCACAAAGAATTTTGCCTAAAGTCTGATTAATTTCTGGTTCCTCTCACTCATGTTGTTCGGTTTTCTGTTTTACGTGTTACTGCAAGTAGTGCATGTTTCACTGAAGTTGTAAGGAATGTGGTTTAATGTCAATGTGAGAATGAGCTGGCAGGGTTTTCTCTTTATGCTTCAATTACTTTCCCTCCTGAAATAACCCGGAGAACTCAGTCTTCTGCTACATTGTTTTCTTGCTTTCCTTGCTATATGTTGTGGAAAGGGCCTGGGCGGTGTAGCGAGGTGGTGTAGTCAGTGTTGGAGTTTCTCTGCGTGTTTGCAGCCAAGGAGGAACGCTAAATTAAAATTACTCCAAATTTAGCTCTAAGTTTTAAAATTGGTTTGCTTTGGAGGGGGAATTTTTACTGCAAGGGTGTTTTGGGAGGAGTGGGGAGCAAGGGTATAGCAGCAAATCTGTTGTAAAAAAGCAGCAGGGTGAAAGAAAGTGGTTCTGTTGGTCTTTAGGCTCTAGTTATGTATTTTTATAACTTCTTGGTGTTTTTATTATTTGCTACGAACCATCATTTAATAGCAGGGGAAAATCTTTCACACTAACATTTCTTTGTTTAGTTTGTTTGTCCTCTCTGGAGAGCTCTCTCCCCATATGACAAAGCTCTGATGTTCTGAAGTTGGCTCCCCTAAGGCTCAGCTTTATTGAGTGAAGTGAAACATTTTAGGTGGTTCATTCATTCTTTCTGTGTCTCTTGTTGTTTGAGCCCTTATGGTGTCCTTTGGTCATGTTTTTAAACTTACTTCTGCAACTAAGACTGCCGGGAGCTTTATTTAATAATAGTTGTGGTCTCATGTTCAACTTTTTCTTTGTGAGCTGCCATTTTATCTCAAGCATCAAATATTGTGAGAGTAAATTAAAAGCAGCGTTGATGTCTTGTAATTTTGTGTTGAATGTTCTCTCTTTTACTGTGCAGCTGAATATCGTTTTATGAAGCAAAAGGACTTCGCTAAGACTACGGGCAGCTCAGGCTTTGTTTCAAGTGCAAATACCACACCTTGATCCTGCGGAGTAGCCTTTGTGTGTGAGCAGCTCTGCTGAAGTCACGTATAGGTGGTTCCCGGCTTGGTTCTTTGGTTTGCAACCTTATTATAAATCCCTAGTTTTTTTGTAGGCCATTGGAACATTATTCCCTGCCACAATGTGTTAGGGTAAAATACTGAAAATGAAGCAGATCTTGCATCTGAAGTCATAAGGATGAGGATACCTGGAAAACTATTCTCTGTAAATAGAAGCCCCAGATGACAGAACCTGCCATGACTGTGCCCGTGCTGAAAGGCCTGTCTGTTGCTCTTTGAGCCTGTGTTTAGGACAAAAGTGAACACAACTTTCCCAAGGTAAGAAGGGATCTAGAGGCCAAGGAAAACCTGTTTAACAGATCTGCTTGTTAAACAAACTCAGGTTTCAATGGTAAAACTCTGGGTTTCTTACTTAGGGGGAAGCATTTAAAGGTACTGATTCATAGCATTGGAAATAGTGCTTCCTTGGTTTTTAGCAGTTTTTTTGGGGGGGCGAAGGCGGCAGAGAGGTCTGATTGAAAGGCAAGAGGCCCACTTGGATCACATGCAAAAAGATGTTTTATTTTTCTTTTTTGAAACTCAGCAGCTTTCATCTTCAGGTCAAAGGTCTTCTGTGACCTTCCTTGATCTTCACATCGTGCCATGTGCCTTATGTTTTCTTTGAGGCCAGGTCTCCTCCTTTCCTTCACTGAGATTCTTGCCTTTCTGTTCAGGTTCTCACTTGCCTGCTTTTCGTCAGCTTTAGGATCCAGAGCTATTTCGTACTGGTTGCTTTTCCAGCTATTTTTTTCCATGTTTGTAGCTGATGTTGTTAAACATGGGGCTGACCATAGTACTGGGCAGTTGAACCCACTCTGTAATAAACTAGGTGAGGTTGTGCCACAGCCACTGTAATCGACAGTTCAACCAGAAAATGAATTTGTTGGCTATTTTTTTCTTTCTTTAGGTGGGTTAAATGCCAACCTCATGCTGTGTCTCACGTACAACATATTTGTTCCTGTTTTCCTCTCCTGCTGCTGCTTCACTGCAGAGTGCTGCAGGCTAATAGTATCTGACGGGGCTACTTCCTATTGCCTGAAAAATGTTTAATTTTACTACCTTGCTTTCTCTCTTTCCCACTTTCTCTCATTTTGATATCTCAAATCCAGTCCCTTTGAGAAATCAGACAGTAAGACATATGAAAATTGCTTGGGTAGTAATTGGAGAAACGATGAGACTTATAAAGCCCATGGAGGTAACATTTACATCTACTTATTCACATTATTTAATTTTTAATGGCAAATTTAATTAATGAAGTACAGGTCTTGTGGTTTCATGTGTGAATAAGTAACAGCAGGGAGCTGAAAGTCATGAGGTCTGTTTACAGGACAGAGAGAAAGGCTCCATTAAAAGCTGAACTTTTCATTATAGGAAGGAGGAAAATGGGTTTAATAGCATAGAAGTTTTACCATTATGTAACAAGTAAGTAAACGAAAACGTTAGTGACAATTTGCTGGCGAAATGCATTTTGAAGTGGTTACTCATCCATGATTTCTTAGTTTAAGTCTGTCTCCTAGGTCAAAGTTTGGAAAAGCAAAGTCTGTTTTGTGGTTTTCTTTGGTATGTGACATAAATTCAGGCACCAGAGATAAAACGCTTAAATATAGCACCTTGAAGCCTGGGCTCTGAAAACTTGTATAAACCTTCCAATTAGCTGAGCTTCACACAGCTTCAGTGATACGGGCAGCTGTTATCCCTGGCTTGCAGATGGAAAATGGTGACTTGCCCAAGATTGCACAAGTGGCAGAACCGCTAATAGAACTTGAGTTATATCTGTCCTTTCCTTTTTCTAACCATCGAACAATGTGTGTCGTCTCATCATGCACAGGACCACAGCTGCATTTATGAGAAAATAAATGAAGAAGGGTAAGAATAGTATTCTATATAAAATGACCAAATTTGGGGAGAGACGAAATAGCAGCTAGAACCAGCCCTAAGTGAATAGCTGCCCAGGGAGGTGGTTGAGTCCCCATCCCTGGATGTGTTTAAGAATAGGGTGGATGAGCTACTTGAGGATATGGTTTAATGGGGATTAGGGATGGTTGGACTCGATGATCTCTAAGGTCTTTTCCAACCTAGAAATCTATGAATCTATGAATCTATGAATAGCTGTCCTCGCTTTCAATACCATTTTCTCACTTTTTTGATTGACTATTGCATATTTTCTGCATGTGCCTTTTCAGACTAAAGGCCTTGCAGATGAGCTTTGAGTGAGGCAATTGCAGCTATTTCAGTATAAAGTCCACAGGCTTTGCCTAAAGCAGCTTTATCAACAGTTTAGTGACACAAGACCTTGCAGCGAAGTTGCTGGGGGTGCATGGCCGTTCCCTCCTGCTGCTTGTGCTTGGGAAGCTTGTAAGAATTCGTCCTCCACGTTCAGCAGCTGAGCAGTTGTGAACTAAAACTCTTTCTGTGCAAGCTCAGGAGAATTTAATGCGAACCTCTTAAGCCCTGCAGCAAGACACTCCAGACTCTGTTTGGCAGTGCCTGAACTGATACCTGATACGCCTCCCGATGTTGTTAAAAGGGAAGCAGGCTGCATAATTTTCTTTTCAAGAATAAGTAACGTTAAGTAGAAGCACTGAAATGTAAAATGGATTTTCCAGTGCTAGCAGCCAGTTTTGATACTTGCATGTCAGTAACTTACAAGATCGTTCACAGCAATTAATGAAAAAAGAGAACAAAACACAACCAAAGTCAAAATAACTCGGTGCTGGAAATACCTTGGGTTTGTGGTTACATGGAATAATCAAAGCTGGCAGTTGGTTGTTAGCGAATCTTTCCCTTCGCCAAGGTGAGGCATGGAGTGGAGGACATGTTGTGGCCTTGATGCATTTCTCTGAAAATAAAAATCAACTTTTAAGCGTTTTTTTGTGTTCTTTGAACTGAATATGCTGTTTGTTGTTGGAAATCGTTATTAATTATAGAAGATAACTTTGTGACAGGATAAGATCTGAGATACCTTTAATTTTAGAGCTGAGCTTTATATTTTTTGTTTCAGAATGCGGAGATCTACAAGCTGACATCTGAGCAATACCAGGAGGCAGCCACCAAGGCGGAGGAGTGTATAAAGTGAGGAGCCATTTTTGTTCTTTTCAGCAATTCCAGTTGCATTTCATAATGGTCTGTGTGTAGCCTCTGGATATTCCCGTAAACGGGCTGTGCAGTTACATCCTGTCAGGTATTTAGGAGGCTGAAGAGTTGTAAGCTAGCATCCTCTCTTTCTGCACCAAGCTTGACAGAATTTGGTGTAAAGTTGTTAGATCTTGCAAGGGAGGGAGAAGACATGGACTTAGAAAATACACATTAAATGGGAATATTTACTAGGGTTTTCAGAAAGGCAGTGGAACATGTTTAATCTGTTCAAGCTTTGACCTGACTTATTTAACCTACACATTGCAGCGTTAGGCTAGTGCATGGGAATAGGAAGAATGGCACCACTTCTAAGGTTTTCATTGTCCAGGGAAGAAAAAGGTGAACAGCCTAAATCTTAGCCATGTACATTTCTATCAAAATAGAGTTGTAATTATCATGAATGTTTTCTTAGAATGGGTGCAATGATTTTTCTGACCTTTTTTGTTGGCCTTGGCACAATCAGCGGACATTTTAATGTTGTCTTTTTAGCATAGGCATATTTAGTGTCTAAATTCCATTTGTATTTGCCAGTAGTGTTATATAGCTTATTGTTCCACATGCACTAACAGCTGTCCAAGAAAAAATATTTTCTGTAATTCTTTAATATTAATGAGTCCAAAGCAATTACACTGTCAAGAGCAGCGCTCAGATCTCAGTTGGGTAAACAGTTGGCCAACAAGCACTAAACTGGAGTAGCAACATATGTAGTCCAGTTGGGTCCAGTCCAGACTGTATGATACTTAATTGCATAAATAGATAATGTAGTAGTGATGAATATGTTAGTGGGGTGTGCAGTATATTGTGCTGTCTTTATTTAAAATTATGTTTGGCTGCCAAAGCATCACATAACCTGTTGTAATTTCACATTTTTGTTTGGACAGTCAAGCAATAACTTGCTAAAAAAGCCAAAACAAGGCAGCTAACACATTGCGTGCATTTTCATGCAGTTTTCCATAGTAGAATTCTAAGTTCTGTTTTTAAATAAAATTTTAAAAATTCATAGGACATAAAGCTCTGACAGTCTTTGATCAGTTCAGTCTTTTCTTGAACTTGTCTCCGCAGGTCTGCGATTAGTTGTTGGAAATACGTGCAACGATGATTTATCCTTGTGACTTTGTAAAGGAAGAGATTGGGACCTTGGGTTATGTTCTCTACTTGCTATTACATACTGTAACTAACCTATTTTTTATAGTAGTCTTAAGTTTGGTTCCTGAGGTTTGTTTCATTTGTTCTCTTCTGTTTCTTGTGGAGGTGAAGACTGGTAGCGTAAGAAACTCGGGAATGCAACCATTTCTCATAAAGGACTGAGACCAATGCAAATGCTAATGGCTTCTTTATTTCAAGATTCAGAAAATGTTTGTATGGTCTCTTAGGGCTTCCTTCCCCTTTTCTTTGAGACTTTATCATCTCCCAGTCCCTGGCTTCTGGCCTGATGGTACAATGCTTTTCTATTTGATGGCAATATGAACTTGAGCCATCATAAAGGGACAGATGCCTTGGGCTGCCTTCCTTGCAGCCGAAAGGGACACCTGCCCTGATGTGAATTTTGTGTGAAAAGATAACGTGGCTGGGAGGTGTCTTGAGAAGGGACAAGCTGTGAAGCCCTAGTGAAACTGAGGAAGAAGGTGAACATCATACTTCCTATTTCTTTACAGTGTAAATTGCCAGCAATAGCCAGGATTGCACTGAGCTACTTGTTGGAGTGCAGGATCTGGGACTGATAATGCCCTTTGATAATTGCACATGCATGAAGAGTCATTTTTTTGCCCCATCAGCCTGCAGTGTACGTGTCTTTTACAGCAGTATGCAATGATGCTTTTTGGGATTGTTACCTTGATGTACAGCGCATCGTATAAACACTATCAAAGAGCACCATGATAAGGCTGGGACAGGGTCAGGGAAACTTCCTTTGTACATTGACATCCCTGTTTCACTGCGAACTCTTTGACCTGTCCCTGGCACTTGTGCCTTGTGAGCCCAGTCTACCCTGTATTTGTTGTGTTCTGCCACTGTGTATCAGCATAGCTGATGGAGGAAGAGGGGAATAGAGCTGGGGCTCTTCCCACAGCGAGTACCCTGTTTTTTGGAGTCCATGTTGAAGCAAAGGTAAGAAATATCTGAAAAAAAACAAACCAGTGTTTTCTTGGCATTTATTGACTTTTGTAATTCTTTTATCAGCACCTACAGCTCTGCACAAGTGGTTAAATGTTTATCCTGATTTTGGGTGGGACAGAGTTAGTTTTCTCCCTAGTAGCTAGAATAGCACTGTGTTTGAGATTTAGTGTGGGATTTGTTATGAGAAGAATGTTGGTAACACACTGATGTTTACAGTTGTTGCTGACATCTAGGACTTTTCAGCTTCCCATGCATTGCCAGTATGCAGGTGCACGGCAGGCTGGGGGGAGCATGGCTGGAACAAAGGACCTACAACTTCTAGCTTAGGATTTGAGTTTAGATTAAGGGTTGAGGCCCAAATTGGCCAATGGAATATTTCATATCATGCAATGTCATGCCCAATGTATAGATGAAGGTTGGCTGGGAAGTTTGAGTTCTATCTTTCCTTTGCTCTTCCTCTTCCTCTCTCTTGCTCTCTTTGAATGTCTTTTTAAGACTCTTGCTCTTCCAGGATTGCAGTTTTGGGACTTCTCTGTTTCAGGATAGCTAGCCAGGATAGGACGGGCATTGGTCAGTGGGTGCAGCACTTTTTTCTGTATAATATTATCATTTATTATGGTGATGCTTAATTTAATTTTTTATTACTATTATTATTATGTAATTGCTCTTATCTCAGCCTATGGGTTTCCTTTGATTCTCTTCTCCATCCCCCAGGGGTGGAAGAGGCTGAGCATGTGGCTGCGTGGTATTTAGTTGCTGGCTGGGTTAAACCGAAGCAGTGTTCCATGGGCTGTTTCCTCTCCTTAGTGATTTTTGAGCATTGCAAGATTTAGGAATATTGTACAAGCTTTCCACCAGTGACCCTTCACAGTGTGCCTGCAAGGCAGGCAAGTAAACCTTCCTATCTCCCTTTGCCTAGAAACAGAGGTGAAGTACTGAGTGCTGAACTTGGTGTTAAGTCACCGACACAATCGTTAGCTCATAGTTTCTACTTCAAGGTAGACGCTAGGCTTGATGCCTACATGGCCTGACTTGTGCAATGGACTTTGTTCCTCATCTCTTCACCTAAACCCAGCCTGCTCCTGTCTCCGTGTTCCTCCTACCGCAGTGTCTCCTTCTTTGTTCTGGGCTCTGTCCAACCTGTTTCTTTCTCCCAAGAAGAAGATCCTAGCAACAAAAAACCACTGAGCACAGCTTTCCGCACCTTAAGCGACTTGCCCTTGTTGCTTGCATGCTGTGGTGAGCTGGACAGTTGCCACGGACATATTGTCTCAATGATGTTGTTATAATTGGTGCATTATTATTTTTCTCTTTTGTTAACCAACAGAATTAAAGTCTGGGGGCCTAGAACTTTTTTCCCCTCTTCCTTCCCTGTTTAGCAAACTGTGCACATCAGTAACCACCCACAAAGGAAGCAGCGTGTAAATAAAAAGCCAGTGCTCCCCGCCCTTCACTTCGTTCCACATCCTTTTCTCAGTGTTCATAGAGCCATGACTCAGACTGGGTTTAGAGAAGACAACTTGCTAATCCCCTCCCCGCTACAGAGAATAAAATGGCATTTCATTCCAAGCTCTATTAATGCGCTCGCTCCGGGGATAAAGCAGCACTCCCAAAAGGCAGTGGCCAAATTTTTTTTCTGTTGCGTTGTCTTTGTCTTCTTTTGAGTGTTACATTTAGATTAGCTTCTGAGGATTAAATGTTATTACAGTCCCTGAATCTGTTAAGGGGAAGGAAAAAAACCATCAGTAAAGAGGTTATGGCTTAGTGCAGGCACTCTAGATTTATCCTCGAAATGCTGTTTTTCAAAAAATTTGATTTATTTTCTATTGTGAGGGTTGTCTTATCACGTTTTTATTTTATTTTTGTAGTTAAATTTGGATGCAAGAATTGGTATGGGTGGGGGTGTGACTCTCTCTAAAAGGTAAAGCTGCAGGAGTGGGGTGAGGGGATTAGGAAGCTGTTAAAAGATAAAATTGTTCTGAAGCTGAGTTTCCCTCTGAGATCTCCTTCTAGTTTGCAGTACTGTTTCTGAAGCTGCTCACTGATGGCTGTGTTGCTTTGCGCGTTACACTGAGAGGACTGCGTATGCTTTGCGCTGTTATCAAGGAGTACATAAAGAACGTTGGTATCTCATCCTGATAGAGATCAGCCTTGAATCCAAGGCAGCTTTCCAATGGAGAAACTGCCAAAGAGATTTACTCTGGGTGGGACTTAGTATCTAAGAGTTCCATTTAATGGTCCTAAGATCTTTAAACTTAATGGACATGAGTATTTAAGGTGATTACGTTAGAGAAACTGGCACGTAGTAAGTATCCTCCTGGGCTGAATGTGGAGTAGGGAACCACACTGACTCAGCAGAGGTAGGGGGAGAAAGTTCATAGATGGACTCTCTGCTGGGAACAGGGAATTTATGGCTTGCTTTCAGTACTCATGGAAATTAAGGTTTTATTGAATGGCACAAAATTTTATGATGCTGATGGCCCTTCAATTAAAATGGCAACACTAACTGGAACCTAGAGGAACTGCTTTTTCTTTTCTTGCTTTTTTTTTCTCTTGTCTGTGTAGATCTGGAAAGTTTATAAAATAGTTATGTGGTGATACTTGAGTTTATTAATCTTGAAATCTACTACGAGGCCTCAGGTATTTCAACAGAGGGCTGTGCCCAGGAGTCAAGCTCTGAAATAGTTATTATGTGGACAGTCATGAAGCCCAAGGAGAAGAAGGGTAAAGCCATCATAGTTTTCAAACAAAATTGCTCTGGGATTTCTCTTGTCATTAGATTAGATAAATGATTAATTCAGTGTTGAAATTAAGAGCCTCTG